TAAGCTCTGTAGAGCTTTTATTACGACGCCGACGCCGCTAAGGGAACAAATGGTGTTTTCGTGGTGGAGGAAAGCCCACGGGGGGAAACCACTGTGCCATCGGAGGAATACCAACTAACCCTATCTGACATCACTCTCTTTTTTCTGCCACCGCTGGGGTTCAAACCGAAATTCTTGGGAGAGCGAGTGGTCTGAAGCTCACGCTTGATTGCACACAGTAGTACAATGAATGTGTGCTTTAGTGGTCACAGCTACCAAGCTTGAGGCACCCAATATGAAAACATCACATAAAACATATGTGTTCTCTATCCTTTTCTTGGTCCAAGTCTCCAATTACTTTATCATAATTTACCAACTTTGAACATGAAAACTGTCTATAGTAGTTTCAGTATTTTTATTTTGAAGGTACTTTAATCATTATAATTTTCCCAAATTTCTAGCCACCCATTTATGGCATTACAGTTTTGTGACCGCACAACGCACCAAAAATAGCGTGTGCACACCGTACATACATCGTTCACACACCGTCCACACATGGTGCGCACAACTGTGCGATTTAACAATCGTTCACCCCGTTGTGCGCTTCTCTCCGCACAACTGTGCGATTAGGTACAATTTGTAGATCAATATTACGGAATGAAAATATACGGAAAGCTTGTATGCAATAATGAAAATTGTATGTTTTACTGTAATTTCTCATCACAGTTATGAAGATTATGTACAGTTTTATAATGCGTGTAACACAGCATTACAGTGACCGTTGAATGGGTTTGGCTCCAAGGTAACAGAACAGGTAAATAACAATTTGATGAGTGACCAGAGTTTATCTGGCCTGTGACTGACACATAGAGCTGATATGTGATACCGTATGACCGTAATGAAAACACAACTGGACGTGTAGTATTTGTTATTTGCATTCGGTTTGCCTACAGCTCCCCTTCACATGGGTTTTCACACCCCTGGCCCTACCAGACGAAATACGTAAGCGCCCTGGGCGGGGGAAAACTACGGCCCAGGTAAATGTACAAAGTGGCTATGTTTACCTGTATACGGGACTGTGTTGTAATTTCACGTGTGTCGATTAATTGGTCGTTTAAAAAGAAAATACCAAAAATTTCTAATTTTAAGAAAGTATAGACATAAAGATATGCTTATAGACGTAGGTAGAATATAGAAACATGCGTTAAAATCAAGTTTATATGTTTAAACACGAAACCGTATATCTTGTTAAGGCATTCCTCAATTTACACCAATCACGATTGTTATCGCACAGCGTTCGTCCATCGTGCACACAAATGTGCGCAAAGCAATGATCGTCCAACTTTTTATCGTTCGCACATCGTGTACATATCGTTCACACACCGAGCACACATCGTGCGCACACCGCACATCGTGTAACGTTGTGCGATCCCACAACTGTATAAGTGCATATTGGGCAAAACAAGATACAAATCACTACTGTTTTTTTCATATGAGCACTCGTACAGCCATACCAATTCAATTACACATTTCAAACAATCAATTTATTTACCAGCATCTACTTAGGAAGTTTTTATAGCTATAATACACAGCAGTAGTGTAGTTTGATGCTGAGATGTACAGAGTTGTTCCCCTTATAATGGAGCATCACAATCTAACATCCTACTCTTTTGACAAAATTGATTCTGACATGCTGTTTGTGTTGTTTGCTAGGTCTGTGCTTGCTAACCAACATTTCAAAATTAAGTGAGGCAACATGAATACAACATGACAAACAAAAATTATCAGAGTTCCATCAAAGAGACAAAGTAATCCCAGCATACATAAGGCCTTAATTCTTAAAGACAGATTTATATCGTTGTGGCAAATCAATATGAGAATTGCTGCAAGAATGTGTAGAGTGTGTAGAAGCATGTGTTTTAAACAATATTTATATATTAATGCTGGTTATGCAATCTAGAAAACTTTGTGCAAACCTGCGACACTTGGGATCCTGGGATGCCTGCATGTACAATGCATGCTACTTTAAATTTGCCACATTTTTTTTTATTAATTCTAACGGACATGTGATATAATTGCACACACATCATAGGACATTATTAATTCTAACGGACATGTGATATAATTGCACACACATCATAAGGACACAATCAAGTAATTGTTCCAATTTGCCATTGGCAACCAGCACCGAGGGGCTGCAGTGGCCAAGTGGTCAGGCGTCTGACATTCTGCTACCACTAGTATATAGCCCTCCACCACTGGGTCGCAGGTTCAAGACCTACGAGGGGCAGTCGCCAGGTACAGGCCGAAGGTCTGTGGTTCTTCTCCGGGAACTCCGCCTTTCCTCCGCCACCAAAACATGACCATAGCTGTTAATAGGACGTAAAACGCAAACAAACCAAACCAACCAACACCATCATGACTGACATGCCAAAATCAGGGTATCCTTGTTAGGCAAACAGAGTTGTTTCCCTTGTTCTCCTAGCTACTGCAAATCAAGTAACTTTCACTCTACCAAAAATTTGCTCTCTGGTCTTTTAAAACACCAGCAGATACAAATTTTAATTTTAATGTTAAAGGCCACCAAATGGAAAAGAATTGCAAGAAACCCTAACTGGGGTCCATTTTAAGGAAACTGAAAACTTTTTTTTTCTTTCAAATAGACATACATAAATTATTTATATACCATTTCTCTATAGACATGTTACAATGGAGAATTATCTACTTATCTAGTTCTAATTCTCTATTTTCCAGTGGAAATTTTATTTTAATTTGACTCAATCAAGATCAGAGAACACTGACTATTAGTGATCAGCTGTTGTTCCACATTAGACCCAGAACTTGGAAAACTGACCACATTTGATCCTGGCACTTAATTAGCAAAGGCACTTGGAAAAGGTAACCATGGTTACAGACATATGATGTCTATTCCTCTTAATGTCATGAAAAAACGTGATACATAATGTAGAAAGTGTAATTTGGGAAGTCACCATTGATATTACTTCTTTGACTCATATACATGTATAATATTTATGAAATATCAAGAGAAAAACTATGTCTTAGAAAAACCTTATACATGTATTAACCAAAATGTGTTATTATGTAATATCAACAGTATTAGGATTTAGAAAAGACACATACAAAATGTGTACAAGCAAGTGTACAAATGTAAGTGTTGGGCTGTATCGTATTACAGAGAGTACAAGCCTATAGATTAACTTCCTAATACTATAAGCTATAGAAAGTCATTGATCGTCGACATCACAATTAGTATATACATACCGGAGACACAAAAACATATAAACCTTATCTATTACCTCACACTAAAGAGCTTATGTACGTTTCCCGGGTCAGTCCCACATGTGTATATATATATATGAAGTCAAATCAATCATGACCCCTGGAGGTCATGACCTCATCAGGTCACATATAGGGTACATACATTGCCTTATGAATAAAACGGAATTTCCTGTCGGTGACTGTGACCTTACCCGGGTATTTACAAAGTGATGTCATTGATGTAACGATGTTTAACGTCCTTCATTAAATTGTTTAACATGATCAGCATCAAGGGTTTGTTGTTCTGTTTATTGATGAAACATATTCATTCAATATGCTGATAATTTCTTATGAATAAATGTCTAAATTATTGCTATACATTTGCATGGACGCTCCTAAACATATAAGGAATGAAAGGCATGTTTTTCATTGACATGTCATGATCAGCAGGCATATGAAGTGCAGTGAGTTACAGCTATATATGTATACAATATACATGAACATTGTAAGATCACCCTTTAGTTACAGTTTAAGGAGGCATCATATCTTCCCTACCACACAAAAATACAGCAATCTGTCACAGTCAACCCTACATTTGTATACCCCATCCCCTACTTATCACAATCTGTACATGTGAAAGTCAGTCTGAACTGTTTCAGTTAATAAAGGAACTATTTTCCCCTACCAACATTTATACAAAAAATNTTCATATACCCCCTGAACCATCCCCAACATACTATAAACTTACTGTTGAGAAAGGGATCCTCCTCGCCAACCCCTTTGTCACTGCCCCCACCCCCCACATACACTTAACTGTGAAGGTCAGCCTTATGAACTTACTGTTGAGGAAGGGGTCCTTCTCGCCTTCCCATTCGTCACTGCCCCCACCCCCCACATACACTTAACTGTGAAGGTCAGCCTTATGAACTTACTGTTGAGGAAGGGGTCCTTCTCGCCATCCCCTTCGTCACTGCCCCCACCCCCCACATACACTTAACTGTGAAGGTCAGCCTTATGAACTTACTGCTGAGGAAGGGGTCCTTCTCGCCATCCCCTTCGTCACTGCCACTATCCATTAGATAATCTCCTGTGTCACTGAAGTAATCTAACACATCCATTCTTACACTATCTATTGATGTTGAAGACAACAGTCTTTTCGCCATTTTGATTAAGACTTGATTGATGATTATTAGTACATAAAGCTAATTCTCCTTCTTGATATTTGATATCCTATGTGAACAAAGTCAGAATTTAAAATCCAATCCATGCACCAGATTTAAATCCCAGTCATTTTAAATCTTCAAGAAAGTTGTCCATTTGAAACCTTATACTCCATATCTCAAAATTTCTCAATGAAGATAAATGATTTGCTCTGATTTAAAACCTTAGTAACACATGAACCATAGTTAAGGTTTCTTCAAATTGTCCAGTGCACCAGTTCATACATATATATATGATGTGTAGAACTGCTAATTTACATATACTTTATAGTCAGGTACGTAAAATGTATACGGTACATTGTAGAACAAAAGATTCCCGTTCAATGGATTCAAATGGCCCTTTGTACGAATGCATACAATTTGTATACATTTTGCAAGATTAAAGTACACAATACAGGTCAGAGTGTTTCAGAATGGTTTTTAAAAAGATAAGCTTCTTGTAGGTCTGGGGCTTTAGAAATCACGGCGCAGCACAGGTCACACAAATCAGATAAAGAAATACCGGGACTACGGTATGTATACTGGAGTAACAGTGTATATAGATAAACTTGTCCACCTACATATTATAAGGTAATTAGTCAGTGTTTTGGTAAGCAGACTCTATAAAATATTATAAATTCTTACGATCAACAACTAAAGGCAATGCAAGGAGTCACCTGAAGTGTACGCAGGTACGTATGTTCTAATTAATTATGCTTCGATATTTCACCTCCCCTTATATATTGAGGATATCTATACAATATAATTATATACATATTGATAGTCTCCTGTTTCAGGGGTACGGCAGAATAACAATGTATTTCATTAGTGAAAATATTGGTTTATACATGTATAATAATGCTTCCTTGAACATGTATAAACAAGTTATTCAACAGGAAAACCGTTTCATTTCCTATTTATTGAATTTTTCAAAAGTAAAACAAGGAAATTCTATCAACGGGAAGTATTTTTTATGTAGCTACAGTATTATCTAGGGTCCATTTTTTATCTATGAATCACAAACAACTTCATTTATGGACATGGATCCGGAGTACAAATTAAAAACTGATAATTTTAACAACATTACTTCACTGTACCACATCTGGTGCTACAGACAGTCATTAGGGTCACTCCCTCTGGTCTGTTGAAATTCATATATTTACACTACCAATTACAAGACAAATGTCAACAAAAATGTTTGTTTTACCTATCAAAGTTGTGACCTAAAATGTTGGTAGGTCACACACATTATCTGGGTTTTTTTGTCTCGTGATCATGACCCAAAAGATGACAACACACAGCAGTGATGATCAGTCATATGCCTGTGCATGGTATATAGCTTCACATGACTGGGTTAAAATACATAGTTGTCCCTTATATAGCTTGGTCAGTGACTTATAAATACTTCTTTATTTACTTCATAAAGTGCTATCTTTATAACAAAACACTAGAAAATCTTTGTAAAACATACATATATCCCAGCTCCCACTTTGAAACAGATCTAGAGCTGAACATTGGGTCAAAAACAACAAATATTTGGCAAAGCAGATAATATAGGTCACTGTGACCTACATGTACATGCTGTAGGAATCCTAATTAAAGAAGTCTTTGTATAAAGTTTGATGACTATGGGGCTAGCAATATCAGGGAAACAAAGATAAAACCATAGTCTAACTCCTCAAATGAAGCAATATGTAGATATAAATGCCAAGTCTAACTGAAGGCGGTGAAGTGTAATAAAAGTCAGAGTGACCTATATTTGATATTATATTGGAGTGGTACTCCTGCAGATTTATTTGCATATAAAGTTTGATAACTTGGATTTTCAGTATCAGAGAAATAGAGCTTAACGTAAAATCTAATCTAGATGTCATACCGAGGGAAGGAAAAGTCACCGAATATGAATGGGGCATTAACAACAGCGTGGATGAGGGCCCCGGGGCATACAATTCCACATTCAGATTATTATTAGCCTGCAGACTGATTTTGAACAGTCTTCTTGTCTGACCTATATTTTTATTGCAATGAATTAATTTTCACTCATCTTTTAGCCCTGAGCATTAATTAATTGGTATCGAAATAGTACACCCATGATGGTATGCTCGCTGTGGCTGTACATGCAGGTATATTTCTTAAGTTGTATATGAAAGATATCCACTATTAGTATACACCACTACAAACTAAACTTACTTGTCTGAAACTTCCCCTCCTCATCTTCATCATAGTCGGCATTCATGTAGCCAAGTGTCTCGTAATGGTCAGATCCTAAGCGGTCAGTACGAATGTCCAACAGTTCATCGTCAGTGCTGCTCACACTGCGCTGACCATGGTCCGGTCGTCTATCTGTCCGAGAGTCTGCAGTGCCGTTAGCTCCACTACCCGAGGACCTTGCTCCACCATCCATGTGATTCTCTAAAAGGAGGAGATCACTCTCACCGAAGGAGTCAACATCCATGCCTCACCAGTTATCCCCCCTAATACTACAGCATCGTATATCTTTGTAATGAAGGACGTCTATAGATACAAGGTTGGGTCTAGATCTGCTGATCACCTAGGGGCCTAGCACTTGTATATGCATAGAGGAGTCTGAAAATTTGAAAGAAAAAAGAATTAGTGTCAATGAAAATTGTTCTTAAAAATCAAAATCAAAATAAGAATTAGCATATCCCATACATTGTACGTAGTTCAGTTATTTATATATATATATATATATACATACCCAGATACATAATAATACAAGTAGACATATGTTCTTTGCATAATTAAGATTTAAGTCTGCCTCATCAGATTCTGGAACGACCAGTGTCAAAATTTATAAAACTATTAAAATGTAAATTTCTAGTGTTTAGTTTACCTGTGACAACACTGCCTTGTGGCTCAGCCCTTCAGAAAGACATTAAAATGTGTCCTAGCGATATATTAACTCCAGGTTTTTTCGATACAGTTTTAATGTTTTGTGCTGTTTATTGTTTAACAACATTAACCCATCAACAATTTATGAGTAGGTCATTAAAGGCAAAGTTTAAAATGCAGGGAGGGGTTGTTTGAAGAAACAACTGTCAAACAGCTGGAGGCCTGAGGTTGGGCTTGCATATCAATAGCAGTAAAATAAGTTAATCTGTGATACCATTTTGTACTATATATATGTTGATTTTAATACAGGTATCATCTTTGTACACAGAATATAAAATATATATACACAGTACATGTACTGTATAATATTGGAATGGAACTACAACTGTATAATAGTAACTTGGACTGATTCCAATATGTACTTATGAAAAGCCTACATTGTGTAACAGCTCTAGATCTTTATAAGTCATTCAGACAGGACATCACCGTCACATGTATATAAGTATAAGTTAAACTGTTATCACATTATCACTTATTTGTAGTAATATTTTGTTATAAACCACACCCACCCTACACCCTTAACTAGCTACCTTACACACTATACCTATATTTGTGTCAGAGTTATCTCCCTTAGTGTTATCTTGTTCACTTTAATAAATCAAATGTGTCATGAAATAATTTAAGGTATCCAACAAGCCTTGCATAAAAGACATTTTAAATATTTTTTTAACGTAGAACTCCTTAGTAAGGAAGTGTGCATGTCACAGTAACAAAGCATTAACAGCATCAAGTAATTAATATTAAAAACAATTGACATTGATACACAGCAAATCAACAAATATGGAAATGAAATTGTTCTACACAGTAATAAAAAAAAAGTAAGAATGGTGGGCCGAGAAATACGACACATCTACATGTACATTTTTTTTCAGCATACAAATGATATGTGAACAGATTAATATAATAAATTAAAATGTTTAACCATATTAATGACATCATATCATAGTGTCAAGCTGTTGATATCAATCACTGTTTTTATGGTTTCATTTTTGAACTATAAAGTATTTACACTAGCCCCTTTTTGACAAAATCTGTGTGTTAATTGTTATTGCTCTGTATATGCAATGAATTAATAGAATTCATGCAAAAAATAAGATGTTGGGATATACTGCTATATCAAAATCAATAAAAAAAAAATATGGTAAAAATTGGAGGTCCAAAGTAGGGAGATCTAGACAAATATATTGAAATGAAAGTTTAACTTTTAAGGCAAAACACAAATTGGTGCAAAACATCTGTGAAAACTTGTCTGTAACTATACATGTAATTACATATATCACAACATCAAATATTTTTTACAATCTAAAGTGTACATATATATATATATACAGTTCACTCAAAGCAGCTAGTGCATAAAATGTCAAGGGATTTGTAATAAACATCATGAAATGTAAACAATACAAATAACCTACCTACCTACAATGTAATTGTATATTGTATATGATAATAATGTGATAGTTATACAGTAAATACCTGTACAACAAAAGATAGCATTCAGGATTTACCTGAATATATATTTGATCAAGAAGCTATCCGGTATTACAATAGATTTTGTAAGGTTACTAATTTAACCCATTCCCCCCTAAAGTCACATTTGAACCTTACCAAATCGAGGAGTGGGCAAGTCCATTTTAAATATGTAGGGGTGAATGACTTAAATATAGTACCGTAATTCTCTTGATGTGAATAGCAGCTTTTTGGGGCTTCTTTTTTCCCAAACCTATTTTCAATATTATTCATCATGGTCATTCTTCATATTAAAGAATTACATTTTACATGAGTTGCTTATTGATCAAAAGCCTGTTTTTTCACATAGCTATAGGGTTCCTGAAGTGGTTAACGTTGCTGAAAGCCATTGAACACGGTGTGATTAACGAGTGGTTCTTTGATATACCAAAAGCAAATGGCCAATTGTAAAGCTATGTACGTATACAGAAGTCTTAATAGCATGGCCTTTGTATTATAGTGACCTCATGAAATATCCCTAAATAACCATACATATAGATCTAGAGGAACAAAACTTGAAGTATGCAAGACATTGACAGAGTGATTTAATATAATCAAGTCAACAGACGAAACACTGTTAATGTACAAGTAGGTTTTCAATGTCACTTTGTTAGATGTAGCTGACAGCTTTGACTCTTTGCAGTATAATTTTCGGAATTTCGTGGAAGAATTCAAATCCATGACGAGATGAATTTGCAATATTTTGAATCATTTAATCTTTAACTCATTCACCCCTGAAATTTCATAATGAACTATTCCAACCTTTGAATTGGAAGAGTTTAAATGTGTCTTCAGGGGTGAATGAGTTAATAGATCTTGTTAATGTAACTAGACTAAAACTTTTCTCTCTCGTGTTGAATAAGCCTGTTTACATTGCCAACTGCAGTCAACAGTACATTCAGATACCATGACCCATTTATCATGAAGTAAACACGAGTCAATGGTGACAGGCTACATAGCAAACCAATTGCCCTGATGACCCTTAAAAGCCTTTTTATGCGATTTTTTTTATTTCCAGTAATATTATTTTGTGGAAAAAGAAGGAATAAATATGATGAAACAAAGATCTGATAGGCAAATCTTTCGTTTTTCTTAATGTTTTTATATAGGTTTTAATAAATTGATCAGTTTTCATCTTATTCATGACTTTAACTGTGACTTGATATGAATATAAACTTGCAAAAGAGATGGAGATACTGGGCTTATTGGAAGTAGACCTTGATTTAGCAACAGAGAATTGAACATGGACCAGAAAAGTTTTGTTGCAATTGGATAATTATTTTTTTGAAGGAAATGTATCCTGTATGTAATAACAAGGGATAGGTGATTACCAGAAACACAGCTAAATTTAGGGCCTGAAATATTGAATTTATCAAAACTACAGCCTCTTTTTTTCTTAACCTGATAACGAATTTGTTGACAAAATCAATAGGAAAAAGATTTTGGTGTCAATCGCTATCACTCGCTTGTGATGTCATAACTTGACCTCAGTAAAATTTGTGCTCATCACATTGGCCGGCATTTATACATATATTGTCTCATGCAGGTAGTCCATCCTCGATAGTCCAGGGGTTACCATCACTTACGCTCTCTGCACCCCTGGAACATGTCATAGTAAAATTGAAGGCTCAGTATGCACTACCTTGTTGACGAGACAAGAAGACTTGTTCGATCCTTTGATGTACATCAAAAGAATCTAGCGGTCAGGTAACGTCAAATTTGACTAGCTTTGGAGTCGGATGTTGTTCCTTTGTAATCCTCAAAGGACAGGTATCAGCCTGGCGATTGGTCAAGTTTTTTTTACCCAAGACCAATCAAACAGCTACCTTTGTGTCTTCAGTTTTGCTATGACATATTCCAGGGCTGGAGAGAGCGAAAGTGATCGAGCGTAACCCCTGGAGTATCGAGGATGAGGGTATAGTCGACTTACCTTGTGGCTTGTACATATACATACATTTACAATATGAACAGGTGCTTTCATTTCAAAGGTGCAATAAATTAAGATCTGGAGGTAACATGGTTTTTGATTTCCAATAAATTCAATATCACTGTGCATATACAGGTTTTATTTTGAGGACATGGTTTCTTATATGCTGGTGAAAATACATAACAAAGTTACTGAGTACACTGGGATGGTGCATGTATGTGTTCACTATATAATAATATTACGTACATGTGTGCTACATGTGTAAAGGAATATCATGATCAAGGAAGGGAGTTGTGGGGAACAAATCATCTTCAATAAACTGATATAGTACATTTACTTATAATACAGGTGTATTCTGGTAAAATGATATGCATGCATGCTCTGTACACTTAAGAATTTGGCGGTGTAAAACTATTATATATACTATATGTGGGTTCAATGAGAATCTCAATGTACTATATATATGTTTCTATAGATTCAGTGGAAGTACATCAATATGGTAACATAGATGAAACCTTTCAAAATATCTTCAATGTTTTAAAGTGATAACATATAATCACAAACTTTTCTGTGTAAATATTAATAATGTATGGGAACATACTTTGTATATATAGCAACCTTTTTAATATAGCATTTTGATATGAATGTCAATGTGGCAATATATATATAGCTACAATAAAATATAACTTCAAGGGTAGCGACTGGGAATAACTTGATTTTGAAGTATAAAGATGAGCTATGTATGTCCGTAAACTGTATAATTTATTAACATTATATACATATATGTTTACACACAACTTTTTGTTTTCTTCTGCAGATATATACAACTCATTGGAAAATTGAGAGAGATGTTCTGTTTCCTGCCCATTTTTTCCTTAAAACCATCATCACAAAAGTACTTAATTAAATGAATGTAAGTAAAACATAGAAAACTTGATATTTTTTTTATTTTTTTTTAGGAAAATTAGTTGTTAAGGATTTTAGAATATAAAACTACTTCATATAGTTATATAATATAAATATGCTGGAAATAAAAGTAAATGATGTATCAGATAAAAAAAATGTATTCGTTAAAACTTTTTCTACATTGAAAATAATGGGGGAAAAAATGAAAAAAAAATATTGGTGGATATATATACATAAACATATTTCTATTACAATGCATACAACATTCACAATGCACAATGCACAAAAAGAAGGGGTTTTAGGCAAAACTTACAACAGGGATATTATAACAGTCTTACCTGATTTGAAATTGGAAAACTTTCGCTCATCCGTTGTGTTCAGACAGAATGAGATAAAACAACTTTTTAATTCAAAGATAAAATCATGAATACAAAAACTAACATGTGTTATTTTGTGAATGTTAAGTTCAGTTCAAGTGCATTGCTTTTCTAGTGATTGCTATATAGAGAGAACATGAATGTGTTTGTGTTTTAAAACAAAGGAACGTACCTGCCAATTTATTAAGACATCTAAATAAGCTGTACATGTGGTAGCGAACCATCTAGTCCACTGTTATATATATCATATTAACTCCACTAAAAGAAATATCCTTTGTGATCAATTTGTAGGAATCGGAGTAACAAAAACAGCAGCCCCGGGTTCACTCATCATGGAGGCACCTGAATACATTAAGGATCCCCGTACCGCTGCCAAAATCTGTAACTAAGTATTGGAAACTGTTTTTCTGACATTATAGCTTTGATAAATTACTTCTTAAAAGAAAACCCTACATGCGGGACTTTTATGAGAAGTTATCAAGATGAAATGAAAAATATGTTATCAAAAACAGTGTTTTGGTAAAATGAAAATGTAAGCTAGACCTGTATTTGAACTCCGAATTTCAGACTAGTATTGAGTGAGCTACCTGGTTAACAGATCAAGGTCTCCTGGCCCAAATATTTTACAGTTATATAGCCAGATGGTAGTTAAAGGGAAGTCACATGCATTATAGGAAAAATCACCGTACAGTGGGACAGGGATCCTTAATATTGGTGTCCACATATAGGGACCTGCATGACACTGTGTATGATAATCCCCTATAGTTGACTAAACTAATTATAACCTTGCACTCTGCACAAGTAATGGTTGTACATATATACTCCCACTGGGGATAATGGCTAATATCTGGACCTCAGAGAAGACTTTTTAACAAGTTCTTTTCATTATAGGGGCACACATTGAAAGTCACTGCAATGATTATGAACCAGTGTCGCTAGTTACGGACTTGGCTAGAATCAATTTACCTCCTGATTAAATTTTGTTCACATTTTGACATTTCCATGAAATTGCACTTTAATATAAGGTGGCCACAGAGTGGCCCTTAGCGCTAGCGATAATCATCAGTGCAAACGATCTACTGATGATCGCAGCTGCTGGAAACAAGAAAACCAGGAAACAACTAATCCTACACACCTGTACATATATGATGTATCATCATATTGGCAGGTCCATATACATTTTGTATGTGTCAACTTCAACAAGTTATATGTGTACCCGCATCTCAGACCAAAACATAGTTGACATTATCACTTATAATATCAGAGGTCAGATGACATTTTCTCTTAAGTTTGTACGGTCAAAACAAGTGTCAAATAGCTATGTCCCTGTACAACCAACAGTCAGAAATTATTTTAGGGGATCAAAAATCTCCTGAAAGCCCCATACATGTAAAACACAACAGTCCATTGACGACAAGGGCTACGTCAAAATCTCAATACGTTTTCGATAATTGCATGATACAGTATGACATACAAAGCATATATATATAAAAAGGCTACCGACTGATACAAGGAAACAGTGTGAACATGATTGTGTAACTACTGTACTGAGCAGTTCCTTATTTTGTCAATATTGACATGGTGTTTCTTGGACAAATGAACAACCTAGATGACTCCATGCGACCCTATCACATTTGGTGTTGGAAATCAACTTACCTCTGAGGTATGTTTTAGGTATTACCGATATGCAAAGTCAAGCTTGTTTAGTCTCTGACAAGAAAATAAGATGCAAGTCATGTGAACATGACGGCCATTGATGTAAATATTTCCGGAAGTAGATTTACACCCTCTGGTGGACAATACGAGTTGTCTCCCTTTGTACGTTCATCGAGGATCACAGAAATTCGATGTTAATTTAATAGCCATACATTTCTACTGTAGGAGAATATTTGTTAAGAATAATTAAACACTCGTCCAGTTGAAATTATTTATAGGATTATATGTTATATTGAGACAACTTTCTTTAAATTCTAAATCTTCATGTGAAGTAAAAGTTACTATCGATGTCATTCTCATGGATTACATTTAAAAATATACCTGTGTTACCGTAAAATGTTTTGTTTTTTTTGCAAATTAACTCATCATGGATAAAAACAAGAGGAACGGTTAACAGAATTTATATCATCAGTTGAATTGCTGGATGAAACTGTAAATCTATGTGCCAAATTTCATCGAAATGAGACGAAAAACGACGTCATGAATTTCCATTTGCTGAAAAAAGGTAAATTGACATGAAATTCAATGAGAAAATGACGTTAGCACGTGAAAGACATCTGACACTTCACTGTACATGTATACGCACGTTAAAATAACTTTCTATACTTAATATTAGTATATAGACACTAAAAAGAAGTTCTGTAAGTTATATCGGTTTTTGAGGTTCGATACTCTATGAGGAAAATTGGAATACCCGTTCACAGCCGGATTTTTACCCCGTCGGTTTTATCGACGTCAAACATTACCGTTTATCAGAGACGCAATATATACGTCTCTGCGTTTAGTTTTAGTTTCTTCATTAGGTTTTCCTCTTTTAGTACATTCATACTTGGACATGGTGCCGAGATTACACCCTGCATCTTATTCTGGCTGCGGATGCTGAATGTGACCTATATTCCATGGTCCATCGACTGTGTTTAATGTTCAGTGTTGTTTTTCATATTTATATATTTTCGAAATTATGTTCAACTCTTCTATTTGAAAGTAACATAACTATAGCGCAATTGCAACAGGGCACTTTTTTTTAACTCAGTCGGTTGTGACCCATATCAGTATAGCATATGTGTGATTGTAACGTGGCCTTGTGGTTAGAGCGGCAGTATCATGGTGTGAGGTAATATTCAAATCCTGTACTATATACCTCCGTTATATTTGTACACTCGGACCTTTGCATAGTTGGAATTAAAAATACATGTACGCCTGATGTTCTCCTTAAAGCCTGTGCTTATTAGTCGCCTACAAGTACTTCCGGAAGGGACTATACAATTGTAGGTCAGTCAGTCAGTCTGTCTGTGCGTCACTTTGTCCGGGGCATATCTCATATCCCCTTTCACATGCAATTGCCAAATTGTATGCGAGTACCTCATTGTATTACTAAAATCGGGTTTCGTGCTTCGCCATCAAAGAGTTATGACCCCTTGGTTGCCATGCTGCATATGCATTTTGTCCGGAATATCGCATATTTTGTATATGAGTGGGATACAATTTTGGGATGGTGAAGTGTTGCGTAATACCACCCGTTCTCGTGCCCCACGTTTTACAGAGTTATCACCCCTTTGTCCACCGTGCTTCACTTTGTGCGAGCACATCTCGTATTTGCTTTCACCTACCATTTGCAAAATTTGTGTGTGAGAACCTGTACCTTTTATGCTGGCGGACCATCACAAACTGAAATCGGTTCTAGTCCTTACTATAGGCAACATGATACCAAATTTTGTCTAGAGGCGGGGGGCCATGGATTAATCGTAATGCATGTTCTTTCCATTGCTTTATGGTAAAATAGTACAAATTTAGAAGACCAAGCCAGGCGTTCTGGGTTCGAACCCAGTCTGGCCGTGCAGTGTCCCGTAACATCCGATGCCTGAGGCCAACCCTTGTTTCAAGATACCCGAATCAGGTAGCTCAATTGGTATAGCGTCCGTCTAGAGTTCGCAAGGTCCCCGCTTCGAACCCCGGACTGGTCGTGCATTGTTCAACTCCTTTTACATTTGGTGCTTGTGACCAAACCTTATTTCAAGTACTGGGTGAATGTTTGGCAAAGAAATGGTCTTACCTGGATAACAAATAATGTTGTATTCGGGGCAAAGACTTAGAAAAAAGAGGGAACAGTGTAGCGAAACTAGACTGGGTCGATCGTCCGCAACCAGTGAACTAGTGAGTAGTTGCTTCTTTGCAAAATGCACGTAATCTACAGTACCACGTCTAGCTATAAATACATAACTTAAAGAGAGACCCCCTGCTACTATTAATCGGAATCTGATTTTCAAGATACTTATGGCTTCTGAGGAAGACTACGCCAGATAATGGAGAAAACGAGATCACACTGGATTACGTACACTTTCAGAATGAATGCAATATGCCAGGTACATCATTAAAATGAGAATTAACAACTTGAAATCCAATTTGAATAAAAACACAAGTCTGTATTTCTTGACCCGATGTCACACACACCAGTCGACGATCTTGATCATAAGCGTGGAGCTGTGTCGGCAGAAAAAGCACTAATAATTGAACCTATGTCTGCGCATACTCTTAAAAGAAGAACAATGCTAGCTTGATAACTAAGGAAACCCTATCTAAGCATTCTTTTTATAATTGTTCCGAAAGACGAAATACTAGCTAACCATGCTTCTGTGTTACAAGCATTCCAAATAATTTATAAGGATAAGGATACTGATATTTAAAAAGGTCGTTTTTATTAGATTTGGAAACGTCAAAGAAATCATTATAAACAATTTGTATCGCTAGTTGCCTACCAAGCTATTATCTCTTACTACACGTACCATTCTTAATAGCTTTTAATCAGGGTTACAGTAATAATGATATACAACATTTGATATAGCGCCCTATCTAGCTAACATAAGCCACTCTAAAGCGCTTTACGATATATGGATATACAATTAGCATAAATAAACATTAATCAACCTGGCTAATATCTCCCTATGTGTGTATGCCTGTGTGTGTGCTGGAGATGTAATGTGTTCTGTTTGTAGTGGGACCGTGCTTCCAACGGCATAATTTATAGTGCCACCTAACTTGAATGCTACAGCACAGATACCACTCAACATCCATCCCAGACCAGTTTATACTCCACCTAGGTTATTGGAGTTTTGTGGACAGGAGAAAACACTTTCTCTGAACATCCATGCGTACGACGACTTCGGGAATCGAACCCAGGCCGCCTGCGTGGAAGACCGGAGTGTTAACCTCTCGACCAATCCGCCTATGACACAGTGACACTCTACACTCATGAAGTGGAGTTGTTGGAATGTGGAATTTGAAGACCATAATCCTGACCTCAAAGTTTTGTTGTTGTTGAGTTTGGTTAAAAAATATATCAAGCTGGCTGTTGGCATTCCTATTGACGAATTATAATAGTAAAAGATGTTCAGGTTGATGCGCCACCGTTTTGTGCTTATGTTGAGGCGGCTTTTTCCACTTTTTCTATAGAGGCTTCGAATAAGGGAACAATGACTGGGGTAGCTCGAGTGCGTGAGGCGAAACGATTTTTTATTCCCCAGTCATGTGATCAATATAATCCAATCAGATACGCTAATATTTAGATGAGGTATAAAATAGTAGTTTCCTTTCGTACAACTTAAACTTTTATTTTTTTTATTATTATTTTTCTCTTAACATTCGATCAGAATTTACTATATTGTATTACAATGTAAGCTAATTAATGTATTTGCCACTTAAAACTCGGCTATGAAAACGTCCATTATAAGGATTATCAACGCAACTTCTATTATTAAAAAATATATATTTATGCACTTATGCTTAAGAGTTTAGGACATGATCAGAGCTCAAAGTCGATGTAAAACGGTATCAGGTATACAGACGACACGGAGGAACCGAGATGAAATTACTACAAAGTGAAATACATCATGAGACATCCAGAAAACAGAAAGTAAGTAAAACTAGAACCAAGACTGCGTTTGATACGACGAAAACATCGCCATATAGGGCCTACCACACGTGTATCATAGTTGTCACTGCAGAATCAACGTTTAAATGAATAGCTGGGACTTTTCTCTGTGCATATGAGTTGTATCGACTGTGAGTTTATTTTTATCCGCTGTGTGGAAAACAAAATGATAATAAAAAATACGGTGTTCACAGAACATATTTGAGAAAATTCGTTTTACTCCTTTGCTCAATTCTTTGCGGAAGACGTGTATAGAGGGCTATATCTTGACTGTATAGGCACTACATGTCGACCATATAGTGATCTTCTTTGCTGAAGCCAATACGCCGTTTCAAGAAAATTGAACTGTTGGTACAGTAACATCCTTCAGGCTTGTTATTCCAATGACAAATACATTCTTCTCGGTTCTCTGAAACGGGCATTTACATTTCAGAAACAGGTGTATTTAAACCCTCACACATTGTGTATGTTTGTCAATAGGATTTTCCTCTATGACAAACGTCTATCAAACGATTTGACACACTAAGGGGTAATCTAAGGCTATCTTGATTTGAAGTTTACTGTTGACCTTCCTGCGGTATGCCACTGTTTACCGTGAATCACTATCAGCCAAGATGACGGCTAACACTTCACTGGTGAGAGGTTTGAGCACTCTAGAATGTTCTGCTACCCATTTCATATATTCTTATCACTCATTTTTTCTTCCATTTCCAATTCAAGGGTTTCCACTTGCTGATACTCCAGCCCCTCATGCGTCGTTCGCATGAGTGGTTTTTTTTTTCAAGTACATGTATGTCCATAATGTATCCTTCAATTAGTATAACGTCCTTCATATGGAATTTTTCAGCTATTAAAAAATTCTGCAATTCTGTCTTTAATGAATAATAATGATAATGCGTTTCACTGCACCGTATGTGGAACCCATCATGATGTCTCTTGTCAAATCCGTTAAAAAAAAATGGTAGACAGAAAATATGAATCGAAGGAAATCAGGTCAAGATGACGGCATTTAGTTGATTTATTAATGACATTTCAAGGTAGTCACCTTTGATTTTTTGTAAGCATTGTCACAACACCGCCAGAGTTAATGTTACCACAGGGTGACTGTATATCCTTCCACTATCTTTCGTTAATAAATGAGTTATGGAAATTATACAAAACTTTGATACGGGAAAATAATAAAAAATACTTTATACCTTTTTTCAATACCGAAAAATGTCAACCTTACATGAACTATTCCAGAATGAATTCATTGAAATTCTGAATTTCTAGACGATGACTGAATGATGTTTAGGAAGCAGGGCAATTAACAAGAATATTGCGTCAAAAATAATCTCAATGTATAACTTTATTATATCTGTCGATCTGTCTCTGTTTTGTTATTGTTAATTGATTTCAACAACTAGGTTGAAGATAATCAATTAAATTAAATGTTTATATATAAGTTCCTAGTTGTGCAAGGATTGATTTGATTAACGAACAGTTAAAGAACATTTTCTCAAAACGTTATATTTCAGCATAATTGAATAGCTACTTTATATGTTGTAATATTTTGTCGTCAGATCAAGCAGATTATGACCGGATGGGAGCGCAAATGGGGTCTTACAGTTGGGGGAAACCGGAATACCTGGAGAAAACCATACGATCGGACAGGCGACCGAAGACAATGGGAATTAATCATATCAAATTAATTCCGGTTATCTTATGAGGACCGTTATTCTAGTCGAAAGTCTCAGAATTTGTATAGGAGTTACCTCCCTTGGACCTTTTCGTCTACTTTGCTCCTTGAGAAATCTTCAGCTTTGGAGATAGGAACTAGTAGCCATACATTTAAAGCAAAGGATTAGATTGTTCATAATTTACAGTTTACTTTTCCAAATCCCACCCTTCCCATCCCATCACATTTATTTTTGATCCTGTCAAGTTTGGTTTCCAGTTTCTGCTGTTGTTTTTCTGATTATATGTTTCAGTCGGAGACTATGACAACCCGTTCTCGCTTCGTCATGGCTTCATCTACCTAGTCCTAATGCAGGGCAGGGTTTCACTTAGGACAACAGAATGCGGTCTCTCTCAATTTGATTTTGAATATACCAAACAGCTTTTATTATTGGAATTTTCTGTTCCCAGTTTCCTTTCAATTCTAGCTGTTGAAGCCATGGCCAATACTAGCCAATTTCTAGAAAATAATAAATTTACATTAACTTCATTTCATTGTGTTTGTCTTCTATATGATAATAAACTTTGGTCGTTAAGCTTACTCAGGCAGTGGTAATTCACCCTAGCTTATTTTTTTTCAATAAACATATAAAATTAATAAAGAAAACAAAAAGTCTATTCTACATAACTTCTTTAAGTCAATGTTCTTGACATAGATTCATATCCTCATCATATGGTGCCATGTTAAGCAACTGACCCATCAATAAGAATGTGACAGCCCGTTAACACGTAAATTAAGTACACTTGTCCTACTTGGTTGAGTGTTTATAGCTATTGAGACTTATCGTGATTCGTAATATAATCGGACACCCCTTCATCAGGTCTGATTAGACGGATGTATCAGGTACAGGTGGTGTTATAATTTCACCTTTGGTTTAACCCCGGAAATTTACCCACACAAACGAAACGAAACCAGACCACACTTCAACACCAACAAGGAAGCCGCCACCCAACAAAAATAAAGCCCCACTAAGAATTATAAATATCAACTTTCAATCAATCAAGAGCAAGCAATGCAGACTAGCAAACGTAGTAGAAAGCGTCAAACCAGACATCATCATTGGTACAGAGACGTGGTTAACAACCGATATCAAAGACGCTGAAGTATGCCCTGAAGGCTATGTACTACATAGAAAGAACAGAACATCATCCGGAGGAGGAGGTGTAGTAATCGCTGTAAAACAAGATTACAGCAGCGAACTTGTCCCAGATTTAGACACTGACTGTGAAATAGTCTGGGCCAAGATTGACATCAAAGGAACGGCGAACATCTTCATTTGTTCCTACTACAGACGGCACATTTCAGACGAAGATAGTTTGATCAACTTCGAAATTTCCATCGCCCGATCATCATCAAATTAAAAACGTAGCAATTGTCATAGGAGGGGACTTCAACTTTCCAGGATGGGATTGGAAAAACAACACATTGAAACCAAACACCGCCCATCCTCACCTCCACAATCAATTAAGGAGTTTAATCGACAAAAAACATCTTGTCCAACACATCGAAACAAACACCAGGAAAACAAACACACTGGATCTTCTACTGACAAACTGTCAAAGCAAAGTAACAAGAACTGACGTCCTACCAGGAATCTCGGACCATGACATTGTTTATGCAGAGGTAGATTTTAGGCCAGTGATCCACCGACAAAAGCCGAGACAAATACCCCTCTACAAAAAAGCAAACTGGGCTGCGATGAAACAAGACCTCAGTGACCTCCTCCCAAACATGACTGCTATGTTTCAAGATGGCCAATGTGAAGTCACAAAAATGTGGGACTCTTTCAAATCACTCATAGAGGCAACAGTAAACAAGAACATTCCACACAAACATACGAAAACTAAAGACGGGAACCCGTGGATCGGAATGGAACTCATAAAACAACTTAAGAGACAGGAAAGACTCTACAAAAGAAAAAAGAAAACGGGTGACCCACAACATATCGCCCAATACTTGGAACTTAAAAAACAAATTCAAAAATCATCCAAACAGGCATATTGGAAATACATTGAAAACATAGTAACACCCAAGGAAGAAGAAAATACCAGGAAATTCTTTAACAAGGTTACCGCGAGCGGTATATAATACGCCCGTCACACATTGAATGAGCAGTTGTTTGTATGATTGAAATATATGAAGTATTTGTGAGTAATTGATATTAAAAGAGAAATCATTCAACATAACTGGTAGATC